CGGGCTGGGTGTGGCCGGATCCAGTGATCCCATAGGCTGTGTCCAGCCGCAGACCATGCTCACCGCCCCGCCCACCGCAGGTCCTCCTGCAAGGGATGAGGGTCAAAGGCAGACACAGGGAGGAACCGAGTGGACGCAGGCTTAAGCCTGCAGGGGATGGAGTCGGCTTTCGAGTGACTGCTCGCCGCAGCCTCTTAGACCCAAGGTGGTGCTGGGGCCCTGAGAGCCGACTCCATGAACATGCCGGCGTTTCACGATGAGCCGGGGGGATGGGAGTGTCAGGGTGCCTGGAGAGGGTGAAGACCCAACCTGGGCTTCCAGGTTGAGCACGGGGGAGAGGAAGCTGGCGGCAGCAGGGTGAGCTGTGAGGTCCAAACCAACACCCAGCAGGCACACACACACCCATGTTCACGGGGGCATCGTCCCTGATATTCCCATGCCCCTTTCCCAGCAGCCCTGTCCAAAATACGCATACACCTGTGCCCGCGGGGGTACAGCCATGACGTGTGCGCCTGTGCCCGAGGGGGTACAGCCGTGACGTGTGCGCCTGTGCCCGCGGGGGTACGGGCACGGCATGCACATGTGTCCATGGCACTCACGCACTTGTCCGTATGGGAGTACGGCCTGTGGCATGTGTCCACCATGCTTGCAGCTGTGCTGTCCCCGGCAGCCCAGGGGCCACTGCTGGACAACTGGGTAAACCCAGCACAGGTTTGTGGATATGTGAAGGTGAGAGATGTGTGGGCATGGCCTGGAGTTGGGTCAGCCCCCAGGGACAGGCTCAGAGAGCAGGTGTGGGAGGCCGGGGGTGTGGGCTCCAGGGCAGCAAGTGTGAGGAGCAGGCCAGCCCACCGAGGTGGGCGCAGCCCATGGGCATGGCTCTGTTGTGGAGTGGGGGAACCACACACAGGTGGAGCTAGCAAACCACAGCTTTGGGAGGTGACACAGCCCGAATGTCGCCTCAGATTTGAGAATAAAGGGCACCAGTGGCTGGCGGGGGTGAGGTGGCGGCCAGCAGGTCTCTCCCACTGTGGTGGAAATGGCGCCTTCCTGCTCGCATCCACCCGCTGCCAGTGTTGGTGTGGACAGAGACGAGCCTGGGGTCACAGCCACCTGCTTGCAGAGTGGGGAGTCCGATAGCTGTCTGTCCCACAGCGCTCCTCCATCCTTCACCGTGGCTCTCCAGTGTTGATCGGGAGCCTTCCTCCACCTGAACTCCTCTTCTGGGGGTCTGTTTTGGGGGGTCTGATTTCAGCCTCCAGGAGTCTGCGTAGCTACCTAACACCTCTGCCTTCCTCTGGGATTCCTTCAATGTTAGGACTTCAAGGCCAAGCCAGGAACCCCAACCCCCAAAGCCACCAGAGCTAACGGGTGGAAATCCCCCAGGGAGCCCTGGCTGGCCCAGGCCCAGGTTGTCAGTCACCATGGCCACTAGAACCGCAGGGGGCACTGGTTGGCACTGTCTCAAGCCAGCGTGGGGAGCGGGAAGGGGGCACAGTGGGTGCATGACCACCAGGGGCCAGCACAGCTGTTTATACATCCTGGGAGTCAGGTGGTTGCCCCTCTTGTTCCAGACCCAGGCTACCACACTCAGCGGACACCCTGGGGGATGGGGGGCCTCAGGGAGACCCACACCCCTCGATGTGCGTTCATTTTGGTCAGCTCCTCGCTCCCACAGCCTCGCAGCACCTTCGGGAGCTGACAGTGTCTGCGGCCCGGGCACCATGAGGGGCGAGCCGACCTCCACCCCAAGGTCCTGCCTATGCAGCCATGCTACCACAAGCTGCTCCACCCCTGCCCTTGTCAATAGGAGCTGGATGCCCAGCCAGAACTCCTGGGGATTCACTAACAGGGAGTTAGGCAGGAAGTTTGCAAAGAATAGGGACCACCCACCAGTGGGCAGCGCATCCAGCAGAGGGGCTGCGCCAGGGCATGGTTTCCAGTGGAGCCACCTGGAAAGGTGGCAGGGGAACCAGGGACAAGAGGCTGGGCACAGGCAGAGGGCAGCAGCTCCCGAGTGTGGTACACACCTCTGTGGCCTCTAACCAGGGCACAGTCCACAGGCAGCAGAGGCAGGAATGACACAGAACCCTGCAGGTCCTTCCCCAGCCCCAGGGGAGGCTCCCGAGGGGCTCCCCACCCAGCAGTACTGACTCAGGGCTGGGAAGCCATCCCTGCCTTCGGAGCTCAGCCCACATTGGCACTCTTAGAGGGGTGCTGCCTCCATGCTGGCACCGCAGGGGAGCACCTGCACAGGTCCAAGGTCCCCTTCCCTGGCCCTCACCGCAGGCTGAGACCCTTGCCGATGGACACACAGGGGGACCAGTCGCACCCTGAGCCCAGAGCGCCTGTCTTGGTGCCACTCACCTGGCTGTGTCCCTTTGCACGGACTGCAGGAGGACACGCTGGGACGGGGCTCTGGCTGGAGGCCACAAGGCCAGGCCTTGGCTCCCGGGAGCTGCTACTTGCACCCCTGCCTCCGGAGGCCTGCCCTGCTGCCTCACCTGGCCTGGAGATGGGCAGGTCCTAGGAGCCAAGTCGGTGCCTCTGAGCCCTGCACCCACACAAACCCCTTGTGAATCAGCACCATCTGTTTATGGCCTCTGGGCCCATCCTGAGCCCCTCCGTGGGAAGCGTGGCTGTGGGCTCCCCTGCAAGGACACAGCTGGGCGGACATTGAAGTGGCCGGGAGGAGAGCCAGTCCAGTCGCCCTCTGGTGGTGCGTGGCAGAACTGCAACACACGCCTGGCTCGGGGTCCCCTGGCTTTGCAGGGCTGAACTCACTTGGCTTGTCCAGTGGGAGGGTTTCTCTGTGTGCCCCTCAGCTGCAGGGGGAAGCAGAAGTCCCAGGCAGGCACACTAGTGATGGAAGTATGGGGGGAGCCTCGGGTGGGAGCAGGGACTGAGCCTGGGGAGAAGGGAGAGAGATCAGGTGGTGGGAGAACACGGGGGGGGGGGTTCTCGGGGTGTGTGTGTATCTGGGGACATGTGCCTGCGGTTAGGCTGCATACCTGAGCAAGGTGCAGCAGGCAAGGTGGCTGTGCCAGACACGCCTCCGAGTCTCCCAACAAACGGGATTCCCCTTGGGAATGCCGCTCAACCTGTACCTGGCGCCCCAGACCAGACCTCAGAGCCCCCTTGCCATCAGTCACTTGCCCATGACCTTCCTGCTGACTGTCCCCCCCCACACACACTGCTGGCCAAAGTGGACAAGCAGCTGCTCCAGGGGATGGCAAGAACCCTGCAGGGCCTCATGGGTGCTCTGCACGAGGAGCAGGACCAGGTGGGGCTGGGGGGCAGAGGCTGTCTGGGTGGGCTCAGCGCACAGGCTCCTGCCCAGCCCCTCGTCCAGGGCAGCTGGCTGCACCTCTGAGGCTCTTGCCTTGTCCATGCAGGTGCCTAAGCTCCTCTCATCCCCACATCTCAGGAGGAAGTGCACCCCAAATCTGGGGCTTGCATGTATGCCCACGAATGGAAACCAACCCTGTGTGTGAACTCTGGCCCGTGCAGGATGGGCGTGTCCAGAGCACCCTGCCCCGTCTGCCCTTACAGAGGTGGGAGCCCCGTCCAGGGGCAGGCGGACGGCTCAAAGTCGGACTAGATCCTCTGTAGGATGCAGCCCACACCTCAGGCCTTGGGCTGGACAGCAGCACAGCACCCCAGAGTTGGAGGCGCAGGAGGCTGCAGCAGAGTACCTGATCTCTGGCCTGGGGGAGACACACCCAGCTTGACTCTGGAACAGCATCCTGCCTTGGTGGGGCGAGGGCAGGCAGGGGCCCAGAGGTGGGCAGGCTGGGACTGTGGGAGGGGAGGCTGTGTGTGGGCTAGGCCACAGCTGCTGCTCGCCAGGGGACGCCTAGGAGGTGACGCAGGCCAGGGAGGACCAAGCGCAGGAGGCAGGGCCTTCACACCACACTGCTGGTCGCTGGGGGGTCTACAAGGCCAGAGCACAACTCCTAGCTCCCAACCCTTCAGTTCCTTCCCCCAAGGAGTCAGAGTGGAGGTGCCCCCCCCCCCTTTGGAGCTCCGCCTCAGCTACAAAGTTGCAAGTGTGGGAAGCAGTGGAGGCACCTGCCACCCCTCCGGCCAGCCAGCTCTGCAGCCCAACTCCCTGGTAGGATGGGGTCCTGCTGGGGGGCACTATGGCTTCCTCCCGACCCTGCCCCTTCCTTCCTTCCGACTGTCCGTGCCCTGCCAAACATCGGGCTGGACGGCTTCTGGGCCCTGCACGGCAAGAGCCGTCTTCCACATCATCGTCCACGTCTCGGCCGACAAGAGGATGGCCGAGAAACTCGAGTCCAGGGGCTGCCATCACTCCACCCTCAATGCCGCCCTGGCAGGTGCCCATGGGCCACTTGCCCCCAGCTCCAGCACAAAGGCCCAGGAGTAGAACTCCTCAGCCCACCTACAGCTGCATAACTGCCAGGCTCAGGTAGGTGACACGAACCAATCCATCCCAGAAGGCTGAAGACCCCTGTGGGGTCATGGCTGGGTCTTCTTGCTCTGCCCTGAACCACCCCATCTCTGGCCCACACAGGAAGTGCCTTCAGCGACTGGGCAGCTCAGAGGGGTGGCTCCTGCAGCCAGCCCAGCAGGAGGGGCCATGGCTCCTCGGTGACACCTCCTTGCCCTGTCCTTGGGGGCAAAGCCTCAGAGGTGTGGCCGCCCAGCCTCGCACCCCCTCCCTTTGCACAGGTGAGGTCACGGCGCCTCATCTCCACCCGTGACAGGGTCTGGCGTGCCGCACTGCTCCACCCACACCCGGTGGGTGGAGGTCACTGCAGTGTGCCCCTTCTCCCAGCTGCCGCTGGCCACGATGCCCCAGCAGCTGGGCTTTTCAGTTGGGACCTTCTGGGGGCCGTGCCCGAGGGGCTCGGGACGGAGAGGGGTCATGGCCGAAACCTGAGGATTAGCCGAGCTGGCCAAACTCCTTCCTCTGCCTGCAGGCCTCAGGCGCCCCGTCACCTGGCCTGTCAGACTCGGACAGACACAGCGCGAGTTCGGAAAAACTAGCATCTGTATTTTAGCAAAACAAAGAGCTTTCCCACTGCTCTGGGCCAGGGGCCTCTGTGCCCCACACCATAGGGGCAAAGGGCGAAGGCAGGGCCTATACCCCAGCCACTGTGGGAGGAACCCTCCTTTCCGGAGGTGGAGCAAGGCAGGGCATTCTGTAACACAAGCCAGAGAGCCCCCCGGCAGGGGCGGGGGATGTTCCTCAGTGCCCCCTGCCCAGCAGGGCGAGCCCAGGAGCCACCCCCGGACACACACGGGCTTCCTCGGGTCTGAACTGTGGTGAGAAAAGCTTTGTCCATGCGGCCTGGTTTGCACCTGCCCACCTGGCACACCTGGGAACATCTGGAGACAGAGGGTCCTTCAGCGCTCCCCCACCTGCCATCTGTAAGTCTCTAGTCAGGACCAGGGCACGGCCGCACCGGGCCAGGAGCCCACTGTCCCTGGGGTCCCCACTCTCTGTGGGGACAGAGGTGCCCTGACATGGAGGGGCCTCCCCATGTCCTGTCAATCACGGGAGAGGAAGAGGCGGCTCGTCACAGCTCATTGTGCAGCGGGCGGCACGGGGGCGAGAGCTTGTCCTCCAGCACGCCATCGGGGGCGCACACCCAGGGGTCGTGCGTCTCCCACTGCCACTTGGCCAGCTGGGCCTTGAGCAGGTCTAGGACCTGGGCAAAGTGCGGGTCGCTGGCGCGGTTGGCGGTCTCGCGGGGGTCCCGGCTGTGGTCATACAGCTCCCAGCGGTCCCGGTAGTAGTAGTGGTGGAGGTCCGAGTACCAGCACGTCGGCTGACCTGCCACGGTGCGATTCAGCAGGTCCTGGAACGTGGGCGACACGTACAGGTCCTGGTCGATGGGGAAAGGCATCTTGAAGGCCAGGTTGTGCACCAGACGCAGGCCCCGGTGGAATACGGAGCGCATTGGGTAGGCCATGGTGACCTCGTGGTGGCTCTGGCTACCGAAGACGGTGTCCCAAGGGGGCTCGGCCCGCAGCGCCGGCAGGAGGGAGCGGCCCGTGAGCTGCACGGTCTTGGAGCCAAAGATGGCGTAGCTGGGGTAGGGCACGGAGAACCAGTCCAAGAGGGTGGGCGTGAGGTCTGGAAAGAAAGTGGTGGGGGTGGCTCAGCAGCCCCCCGAAAGGCCTGAGCCCAAGCACCCCGCACCCCGCCCGCCCCGCGCCTGCCCGTCCCGTCCCTCTAGCTACCTTGGGCCGGCACCTCTTGTTGCCATGCCATTTCTCAATGCCTCAGCTATCCGCAGGGCCCCAGCCGGTGACCCAGGGACCCCTCCAAACTCCACGGCCAGAAATGAAGCCCCTCAGGCAGGCAGGGCTCATGGTTTGGGGACAAAGGGCAAGGTGGGCCCTGAGCCAGCGACTCCCTGCTACAGGGCTGTCCTGAGATGGGGTGCTCACTCAATCCCACACCCCTGGCTTTGCTCAGCTCAGCATGGGCTATCGCAGAACCACCAAGAGCTTCAGGGGACCTGGCCATGACGAAGCCACGCGAGGGTGCAGCGGTCATCCGAGCGGGGTGTCCAGGCCTGCGGTGTGGGCACCCTCAGGGAAGCGCTCAGCCAAGCAGACAAGGTAGCCCGCCTGGATCCGCAGTCTGTGGCGTGGGTGTGGGGGACATTCGGCTGCCCCTCGGCGAGGGACGCGCCTGTGGGCACAGGCTGAGAGCGGAAGCCACATGGGCAGGGCCCGGCCATACCTAGGAGGCTCACGTAGGCCTCGCTGACCTGCCCCCAGCGCTGCGGGTGCTCGGGGGACGACAGCAGCAAGGGCTCAGCGGTGCCCGGCCAGTACAGGTTGGTCCTGCCGCTGGGGAAGGGGATCCCATTGTCGGAGGTGAAGATGACCAGGGTGTCGTTCAGGACGCCGGCCTCTCGCAGCTCCTGCAGCACGAGTCCCACCCCTGCAGGGGCGGGCAGAGAACGGAGTGGCACGGCTGTGACGCGGAGCGCCCCACAGCCCCCAGGCAGTGCTGGCCCATACCCCGACTTCGGCCCAGGGTCTCAGGACCCCCGAGGAGAGAATTTCACAGTGCAAGCACCCTAGTCTGTGGCCACCGGAGACTTGCCCCACCCAAGTCCTGCCCCTGTCCTGTGCCCCAAACCCAGTTCTGTTCCCACGGCCCGATCGCCCAGCCCCAGGGCAGGGGCGGCCTGAGTCACCAACACCCAGCTCCGGAGAGTTCTCTGAGCACAGGCTCTGCTGGCCACCACACAGGACCTTCCCCCGAACCCCAGCTCACATGGGCCCTGGTTTGAGCCACCTGCTGAGCCTGACTCAGGGCCACCAGGCACAGGGTTGAGGGCTGAAGCCTTGGCATACCCCAGTGCCCGGGTTTCGTGGGCCCACCTTGGTCCATGCGGCCGATGGTGGTATACTGGGCGGCCAGGTCGGCCCGGGCTGCTGGTGTGTCAGGCACGAAGTAGGGCACCTGGGGAGGTGGGGTGTCCTGCTCAGAACAGCCTGTGGGAGGGGCCAGCCAGGGCCACAGCTACCATCCTCCTGCGAGTGGACGAGCCCAGAACAGTGTGCCCCCCAAGGAGTCACAGGCTGATGTCACAGCCCCCAGGAGCAGGGTCAGGCCCCGCCTACCAGGACATCCTGAGGGTCGTAGGTCTGGGGGGTCCAGTCTGGGATGCGCCCCATGCCACTATCCCCGTTGCCGAACTTCTCACAGAAGGCTCCGTACTGAGGCTGCGAGTGGCCACAGCGGTGGGGGTCATGGAAGGCGACATAGAGGAAGAAAGGCCTGCTCAGGAGGAGGGGTCGTGGTGGGCAGGGTCAGTGCCTGGATGCTCTAGCCCAGCGGGGCCTGCTTTTCCCAACTTGCCCCTCGCTCAGGGGGCCTGGGCTTGCGTGCCATGACCTCCCTCGCCCCACACCTGTCATCCTGAGTCTGCAGAAACTTCCGGACCAGCAGCTTCATCCTCGTGATGTTCCGGCCCACCTGGAGGACCGAGCCATTCTCCTCCGTGTAGGCGAAGTCAAACGGGTACACGGGCTCCGGCCCCACGTGCTTCTTCCCTACGATGCCTGAGGGCCAGAGATGAACCAGGCTCTCCCCGGCCTCCTGCTCACCCCACGCCGGGGCGAGGGCTGCAGGGGGCCGGCCCGCGCCTCACCTGTGCGCACGCCAGCCTCTCGCAGCAGCAGCGGCAGGCTCCGCACCTTGTCGAAGGAGTCGAAGTGGTGCAGGTCCTGGTGCAGCCCGTACATGCCGTTCTGATGCTGCCGACAAGCACGCCAAGCACGGGTGAGGCTCCGGCCCCTGCCCGCCTCCCCTCCGGCTGGACCAGCCTTGCTCCACACCCCTCCTCCCTGGACCGGCACCCTGGGGAGAGCTCTCCACCTCCCATTCCCTGCCCAGGAGGCCCCAGGCAAGAGGAGGGGCCAGAGGGTTAGCAGCCCTGCAGGGGGCTTCTGTCCTCTCTGCTAACCTCTCCTCAAATCATATGGCGGGGCTGGGGAAGGAAGGCCCCTTGCCATCACTGCTTTTATTATTTTTATTTTTCTTAAAGGAGCCAGGAGCCTCTTCCGGCTCTCCCACGTGGGCGCAGCACCCAAGGACTTGGGCCGTCCTCCACTCTTCCCCAAGCAGGGAACTGGATCAGAACTGAACAGCTGGGATTTGAACAAGCTCCCATATAGGATGCTGGCACTGCAGGTGACATCCTGACCCACTATGCCCCACCCCGTCCTGCCTCATTACCTGCTTTGTATTATAAAAGAAGTCACTATTGCAAATACACCCCTTGTGGAAGGGCCCATGGTGTGGCCAGTGCAACGAGCGTCTCCTATGAGCACCAACTCAAGTCCCGGCTGCCCAGTTCCCACGCAGCTCCCTGCTAGCACGCCTGGGAAAGCAGCAGAAGCAGGCCCAAGTCTTGGGGCCCTGCACCCCCGTGGGAGAATCTATGTAATTCCTGACTGTGGCTTTGTCCTGGTCCAAAATGTCCCCAGCCGTTGCGGACGACTGGGGAGTGAACCAGCAGACGGAAGATTTCTCTCTCTCTGTCTTTCCAACAAAATAAATAAATAAAGCTTTAAACAACAACAAGAAAATCCAACTCTGCCACTATTTAGAGCGGGCCCAGTGCCCAAACGTGGTGGGTCCCTGGACCATGTGCCTCACTCCACTCTTGGGTGGGGACACACAGACAAAGCAGGGCTGCCCCGTTCCCAGGGACACCAGCGTGGCAGCCTGAGGCGGAGACAGCCCTGTCACCCCTGGACCAGTGAGACGCCCAGTGCAGTTTCCCCACATGCAGGACTGGGTGAGGGTGAGATCACCCCAAGGACAGCCACAGACAGGAAGTAACCTCGGCCCCCAGGTCTTGCTGCAGACCACCCCCCTGCAGCACTGGGGGAGGGGCTCAGGGCAGAGGCCCAGGGCACTCCCCCTCCCGTGCGCCCCCTGGCTGCCCTCACCTGGGGCGCTCCCCCTCCTGTGCGCCCCCTGGCCGCCCTCACCTGGGGCGCTCCCCCTCCAGTGCGCCCCCTGGCTGCCCTCACCTGGGGCAGGCCGGTGAGAAGGCTGGCACGGCTGGGGGAGCAGCTGCTGACTGAGCTGAAGGCATTGCGGAAGACGAGGCTTCGGCGGGCCAGGGCATCCAGGTGGGGTGTGACAATGGCAGTGTTGTTGTAGGCGCCCATCTCAAAGCCGCCATCGTCCGCTGGGACGAGAGGAGACAGGACCAGTGGGCAGGGGTCAGGAGGAGGAGGGAGTGAGCAGACCGTGGGTCCACTGCAAAGGCTTGTCACAGTAATGTCCAGGCAGCAAGACACCCGGGGGGGGGGCGGCTCAAGCCCAGGGGGTAGGACACCCAGGGCTCCCGTCAGCAGGTGCATGTGACACCCACGGGGCCTCATGCCCAGCGGGTAGGACACCCAGGGCTCCCGTCAGCAGGTGCACGTGACACCCAGGGGGGCTCATGTCTGGGTGATAGAACACCCAGGGCTCCTGTCAGCAGGTGGATGTGACACCCACGGGGCCTCATGACCAGGGGGGTAGCACCTAGGTGGGTACTAGCCAGTGGTGTTGCCATGCACCAAGTGTGACTCCTGGGTGGGCACAGACCAGGCAGGCCCGGGATTGGGTGGGCATGGCATTCAGACCTGCCTGCAGCCCGCACCAGCTTGCTGTGCAAGCATGCACTGTGCCAGCCTACGCTCCACACACTAGCAGGCCATGCTGGCGGCAGCTACGGCCCATGACTGGGCGGACCCGGCACGAGGCAGCCTCCAGGGGAGTCCCGAGTTGGGCTGGGGGAGCAGGGATGGGACCCCCGGCCGCACAGCCACACGGAGCTTCTGTGGAGGAGTCGGGCACCCCAGGACTAGCCAGGGGAGGCGCTGAGGGCACTGCGGCCCGGCACAGAGGCAAGGGCCTCTGGCTGGAATCCCTAGGTGGGGGTGGGATGAGGGCAGCCAAGCAGGCCACAGGTGGGCAGGACACAGCATGGGCCACCCTGCTGTCCTTCTCAACCTGCTCAGGGGGTGTCAGCTCCGAAGCAGGGAAAACCATGTCCTTCCCACATTCCCATTTCGGAGCCCCAACCCCACCAGCGTGACTGTGTCTGCAGACGGGACCTCCAACTGGAGTCCAGTGAGGCCCAGAATGGGAACCCCTAACCCTACAGGACAGGCGGCAGCCCTGGGGCTGTTGATATTTTGATCAGCCAGGTGCCCGTCCAGACACCGCAGAGTGAATCAGAGCAGGGCTGGCAGGTGGCCAGACCTCAGAAGGGGAAGTGTCAGCGGGCGGCCTGTCACCGGCCGGCCACCCACACCGGAAGTCTCCTGAGCTGCTGGGCCCTGGGGAACTTGGGGTTTCCCAGGGCAGCTGCAGCGGGGTGGGGGAGGGCAGTGGGCTCCTGGACCCTGGGGCCAGCAGGACGCACTGGCTGAGCCACAGGCCAGTGTGTGGGAGCTGATGAGAGCAGTCGGGCACCCGCTGCCCTGGAGGACCCGCGAATCGGGGCTGCCGGAGTTGGAAGGAGGCCCGCAGGGTCAGGCCAGGGATGGGGGTCAAAGGCTGAGGCCACCACTGGGTCAACATACAGCGTGGGGGGGGGGGGAAGGGGCAGCGACAAGGCGCGCTGCGGTCAGCACCGACCCCTGGCACCGAGGGGCCGAGCAGCCGGGGGACGCCAGGTGGCCGCGGAACTCACCGAGGATGAGCAGCGCGTTCCTGCGCGCACGGCACAGCCCCAGGCAGAGCAGCAGCGTGCAGCAGGCCGGCCACGGGCTCGGCATGGCGGCGGGGGCAGCGAGACCACGGCCACGCCCCCGGTCACGCGCACAGAGCCCCGCCCCGTCACGTGCGCGCGCAGGTCCTGCCCCGTCCCCTGGCCGTGATTGCTGCAGATCCGCCTCGGAGACCTCGGCGACCCGGGCTAGGCGCCCAGGGGGTGAGTCCGCGGCCCGCGCGCATGGGGAGCAGAGCCCCGGCCCGCGCGCCTGGGGAGCAGAGCCCGGGCAGCTCCGGGACTTCCCTCGGGGACCCACACTTCCTGCAGGGAGCCCCGTCTCCCGAGGGGTCCCAGGCCGCATCTCCAGCCTCGGCCGGGGAGGGTGGGGGTAGGCGGGGAAGGGGCGCACGCTGTGCTGGGGACACCAGCACCCCAGCGACTGCGGCGCACCTGAACTGGTCAGGGAGCCCTTGCCGCTTTCCCCGGCCAGGGCAGCCCCTGGCGCCCCTAGGTGCCACAGGTGGGGGCCGGGCCAGGTGGGATGCAGGGACATCAGATGAGGAAGGGTCAGGTCAGGCTGGCCGTTCTGGCTTTACCCCCTCTGGGAGAGGGGAGGCACCTGCTGGTGCTGCTGGACTCCTGGACGCCCAGCCCCTGATCCTGACTGTGGCTCCTGTCCCCCACCCCAGGTCCGCCCTGGAGGTGCCCTCGTGGGTGAAGGCTGTGGGTCCCTGGGTGGGGGCAGGCCACCGGGCCCCGGCATGGCCTCCCCCACCTGTTGCCGGCCCGGTCTGGTGTCGAGGAGGCTGCCCGTCCTGGCCTGGCTGCCCAGGTACTCCGTGCAGTGGCTGAGGCTGGACGTCATAGCCGGGCTGTCGGTCGGGCTCACGGTCATCCCCCAGGCACTGGCCTATGCCGAGGTGGCGGGCCTGCCACCCCAGGTGAGCCGGCTGGTCCCCCACAGTCCCACCCCCGAGCTCTGCAGAGTACAATCTGAATTCCAGAGGTCTTCGGCCACCCCCCCAACCCTTGGCTTATGGTCTAAGGCATGTGACTTGCTTTGGGCGGGTCCGCCCTCGCCCTTGCCCCCGCCCTCGCCCTCGCCCACAGGTGCCTCGTTCCAGACTGACTGCTGGCTGGCCCATTGGGGTCAGGTGGTGACTCTCAGACCTTTGAGTTCCCCACTCCTGCCCCAGGGGCGTTCAAGGAGGAGGGCCCAGTGTCCTGGTGGCCCCCGCCTGTCCAGGAGGAGGGCCCAGTGTCCTGGCGGCCCCAGCCTGTCCATGGACACCTGGCTGTTGGTTCTCACCTCCGAGTTTGTCCACAGTACGGCCTCTACTCGGCTTTCACCGGCTGCTTCGTGTATTTCTTCCTGGGCACGTCCCGGGATGTGACCCTGGGCCCCACGGCCATCATGTCCCTGCTGGTGTCACTCTATACCTTCCGTGAGCCCGCCTATGCCGTGCTGCTGGCCTTCCTGTCTGGGTGCATCCAGCTGGCCATGGGCCTCCTGTGCCTGGGTGAGACAGCCCCCTCCCTAGCCAGACACCTGCCCGGGGAACACACCTTCTTGCCTGGGGCCATCCTGGGGGCATGTTGGGATTCCGGAAGGGCCCAGCCCGGCTGTCCTTGGAGGCCAGGACCTGTGGCAGAGCGGCCAGGGTCTGGCTTTCCTGCTCCCCTGCCCTCTCTCCCTGCTGGAGCTGGGTGGAGCTCGGAGAGGCTCAGCATCCCCTCCTGACTACCCAGGGTTCCTGCTGGACTTCATCTCCTACCCGGTCATCAAGGGGTTTACGTCTGCGGCTGCAGTCACCATCGCTTTTGGGCAGGTCAAGGTAGGCCCAGTGGCCCCTGCGTGCGTGGGCATCGCCCAGCACTGGGAGGAGGGCCTCCGTGGCTCCCGGCTGGCAGAGGGCTGCGGCCATGGGTCATAACCCGCTTGGTCTCTCATTCCAGGGCGGGAGGTGCCAAACGGAGGTCAGGTTTTCCAGCAGGGAGCTGGGGGCAGTCACCACCGCCCTGCCCCAGCCCATGTGGTCGGTCCGGCAACAAGGGCAGCCACCCCGGTGGCCAGGCTCACTGTGCGCTCCCCCCTGGGCCTCCCCTCTGTGGGAGGGGCCTGGGAAGGCCAGGAAACAGCCCAGCATTTGCCCTACAGAGTCCTGCCCAGACCAGGAACCCTCCAGGGGCCAGCCCTCCCTACCCCGACTGCTCAGCCTGCTCACTTGGGCTGATACAAGCTGGGGAAGAATCGTGCGAGTCCCGAGCCCCCTGACTTGGAAAAGCAGGTGGGAGAAGGCCGACCTGGAGGCTGCTCTGTTATAGAGCCCGTCTGATACAGACGGCACGCCAGCTGCTTACTGGGCGCCCAGCGCACCGTCAGGGTGCAGCCGTGCCCACTGGCTCCCCACCCGGAGGACCCCCAACTCTGGAACTGCCCTCTGCTTTGTGATGGCCCAGACTGGGTGTCACTGAGAAAAACTCGCTGGATGCCTCAGACAACCTGCATCTCCTGTCCCGGGGGCTTTGGGTTGGGCCAGGTGGGGCCTTGGGACCAGGGGAGGGTTCCACAGCAGAGGGCAAGGGGCTGGCTGACCAGCTGTCTAACTAGACCCCCCATCCCGACAGAATCTCCTGGGACTGCGGAACATCCCCCAGCAGTTTTTCCTTGCGGTGTATTACACCTTCCGCAGCCTGGGGGAGACCAGGTACCTGCTGGCTTTGGCCCGACTGCCCGGCTCTGGCAACTCTTCCTTCTGGCCCTGCTCTGTAACCTCTCTTGTTCCCCCGTCCCCGCTTGTTTCACCCTTCCGTGGCTTGCAGGACGCGCTTCCGGGGCTTGCAGGACATGCACTTCCGGGGCTTTGCAGGCCCAACCGTGACACACAAGTTGGGAGTGGATTAGAAGTGGATTGGCCAGCTGCCCCACGTGCTGGGTCAGGCTGAGCATTTCAGCTCTGCTCCAGCAACCTGGGGCTGCAGTTCAGCCCCCAAGCCCCTTGGGCATGGTGCTGTTGACCAATAAAGGGTGGGGGTCCCGGGCCACCTTGTCCCTCGTGCTAGCTTGCTGCACCAGCTTCCTGGTGAACCCAGCCAGAAGCCAGCGGCCTCCCTGCCTGTTGGGGTTGCAGCAGAAATGGGGACCCCTTGTCCAAGCTCTGTGGAGGGGCAGAGGTGACAGTCTTGCAGAGGAGCCGGCACTGGGGTGGGAGTGGGGGCCTGGGAGGAAGCTTGCAGCCACCACGGCAGTGGGCGCGCCCTGTCTCTGCAGGGTTGGGGACGCCGTGCTGGGCCTGGTCTGCGTGTTGCTGCTGCTCATGCTGAAGCTGATGCGGACCCACCTGCCCCCCCTGCACCCTGAGATCCCCCCCAGGGTGCGGCTCAGCCATGGGCTGGTGTGGACCGTCACCACAGGTGAGGCTGGGCGCAGGGCAGGACAGGAGAGCAGTGGGAGACCCGAGTAACTCCCAGGTGGCATCTGCCCGGGTAGGCTGGCACCAACCTCTCCCGTCCTAGCACGCAACGCCCTGGTGGTCACCTTTGCCACCCTGGTGGCCTACTCCTTTGAGGTGACCGGACACCAGCCCTTCATCCTCACGGGAGAGACGGCCCAGGGGCTGCCTCCAGTGCGACTCCCTCCCTTCTCGGTGGTCACTGCCAACAGGACGGTCTCCTTTGCTGAGATGGTGCAGGTATGCAAGGCCCTGCATCCCAGATGCTTAGGGATGGGAGTGAGCAGGTTGGGTCCAGGCAACACTGACAAGTCCTCAATGGGCGC